TGCCGACAACCCGAGCGTGTCCTTCAAGGAAGTGTCGTGCCCGGCCGAGATCACGGCCAAGAGCGGGTGCAGGCGGAACTAAGTGCGCCTCGTCCTGCAGACCCTGCCTGGAATGATGAAGCCATGCGCTGTGGCGTGCTCCCCCCATCACGTTGATATCAAGGTTTTAGGTAGTTGAATACAAGAAGTGTACAACGGGCACGTCAAGCCAAACTCCCAGAACTAGGGCACCAGACTGCACTGGGTGCATGAACGTGCTTACTCCAGGTCGCGAGGTGAGCTACGACTCCATAAGCAGAGCACAACCTCTTGTCCCAAGACTCAGGGCGAGATGGGATGGTGAAGGCGACTTGGCGTACAGAGTACACAACTCTGATGAGAACTGAGCGCCCCGGGTTGCCAAGCCTCAGCTGCAGTAGGTCGAATAGCTTCTTCAATTTCCATTGCTGACAGGGTTCGCCGGTACAGCTTGGCATCTCAAAAGCAGAGCTGCACTAGCCCGTTTAATACCCTCCGACATGACTGCCGTGAGCAGAATGGATATCAACGGTGGCTGTGGGCTGGGCAGTAGACGGGCAGCCCGCTTCTTGTGAAGCTACAACACCCAGCAGCCCCCAAGACGAGGGCAGCCAAGATAAAGCCAAGATGCTCGATGAAAGCGACATTGCACCCAAGGCCTTGTCGTTGGGCACTGCCCCAAGGGGGCAAATCACATTTTGTCGCAGGCACGTCGCCAACGAGAGGCCGCGCGGTCTTTGGTGCAAGTGCTTGCCAACTCGCCAGAATGGTTTCCTTCTTTCGCAGGCGTATCTATGTGGCAGCCAACGGAGACGCGCCGGCGAATCAGACGTTTGAACTCACATGACGTAGAAGTGATGTTCGGGTTTGTGTGCCGCTTTAGACAAGGGGGACGGGGCGCCAGGTCGCGGCCGGGAGCCTGTAAGATGCCGAAGGCAGCGTAGGCAGTGGAAGAAACGCAGGACAAGCGACGGCAAGCGGTAGACCGGCATCTTCGGCGCGTAGTGTCAATGCGGCTGGTAGGTATCCGTACAGAGCGAGCGATATCGATGATTGACCAGCCTCTGAAAATCTCCTCGAGACTAAATCAGTTTCGACAAGCTTCGCTTTCTGCCAGGCTATGATTGAACGGCACATTTCCCAAAGAACTGGCGGGAGCCGTTGCCCCTGTCCTGCACTGTCCTGGTGGAGCTAACCGGGCGAACACCCAATGTTTCAATGACGTCTGCCCGGGCGTTGTGTCTGTGAGGGGTACCCTGCGCTCCTCTCATGTACTTGGTCGAGATTGAATCAAGACGCCAGAAAACACTCAAGCGCTGTGACCTACAACTGCTGACAAGGCCTGCGGAAGGACAGTTGGTCGCTGACAGATTTCAGGTTAAGCACCACGAGCGTCCGAAGATTGAAAGATTGCGAGACTTGTATGGGGATGCCAAGGCGCATTGGCGGTTAGCGATCGAAGCTAGAAGGGTGTACAGTTGCTAGAAGCCTTTCCCGCGAGTTGACTTGCAGCGGGACGTCTATCGTAGGATTCCTGGGCGCTGGCAATTGTCATCTTGTGTTGTAACTTGTGTGACACTGGCCAAAACCGGGACGTGGGACGCAGGCCACGCAAGATGGGTGTCCGATAGTCGATTGTCCATCAGAAGCGGTCTGGCGGCGCATGCACGTTGTTGCCGTTTAAACCGTCCGCGGCCTGCTTGTGCCGCTGGACTCTTGCGCCCACCCATTTCGATACTCGTAGCGGCAACGAAATCGAGGGCGGGCAAGCTAGTTATCTCAGGATGCGTGGTTCCATTGGTCGCATCGTACGATGCGATCCTCTCTCCAGGACCGGCAGCATCGAGTTTGTTGTATGACATGTCCCAAGGCTTGCAGATGCAACCACGCGTGGCATGAGATGGAAGATATGCAACCGAGGGCAGATGGGCTTGTGTCACTTGTGCGACGGTCTGCAAGGAGAGGGTCTATTGGGATAGAGAAGCACGCGAAGGGTGCCGTATTGCTGGGAACCCCGAGTGAGAGAATGCCGAGAGAACCGGTCGGACATCGTCTAACTGTCACTAGACATCAGTCGGTGCATGTCGAGTCTGGAACAGTCGGCACAAGTTGCCGTCTGGGAGGACCGGGTCCTTGATGAGACAGAAAGTTAAATTCTCATTGAGGGAGGGTTTTGAGACCGAGAGAGAGGAGAGCGGGAGGCAGACATTCTCCAGAGATCTGCAGACTGAGCTGGAGGCGGTCCTGACTGAGGTGTTCTACCTACCTACCTACCTACCTCAGTACAGAGTACTTTGTAGTTATTGACGGTAGGCAAGTGGTTTGGCTAGGTAGTGCGAGAAGACCGGGGACTGTTGGTGCCCGTATCCGGACCCAGCGACGTGCCTCGAGGTGATGAGGCTAAGGTAGGGTCTTTTCCTCCGCGCTAAGACACTGAGGAGGTTCCCTCTTCCGCACCAAATGACCTGCTTGTTTAGCGGGATTGGCGAGACCTTGGGGCAGGCAGGTATTTGCGGCACACGGGAGGTAGGCACGTAGGTAGGTAGGGAACGAGAGACAAAGACGGAGAAGCCGTTTCTTTTTTCACCTCAGCTTGGTCGTTGGCGACGGCCAGAAGGTGACGTCTATTGGGCAAGACCTCGGAGCCGGCCTGGGTGACCCGAGAGATCTCTGTGTAGCAATGTTTTTGGATGTAACGACCAGGAAGAGGAGAGGACCGGGGCGACGGGAGACGGGGCAGTTCGATTTAGCAGAAAGATCAGACAGACAAGCTTCGAGGCAACAAAAAGCTTAGCGACGAGAGCGAAGTTCCATTGACGTCCGATTCGCCGGGCGTCGGCTGTCGGGCGAGTGCATGATGAGGCAGCCAGCAAGCAGCGAGGGAGATGAGCGGGCATGAGGTACACCTCAGTGGAAAGCTTTGTTGGAGGGGTTGTGCATGTCGAGACAAACAACAACGGCAAGAGCGGCAAGTTCAGTGGCTGTTTGGCAGACGAGAACGGAGGGTTGGGTCGAGGTTTTAGGGAGGTTTAGGGCGTGCCGCTGCCGTTTTGGTGGTTGGAGTGTTGGTTTCTGGTGGTGCCGCCCGTGTGCCGTGGCTGCCGCTGGCATTCAAATGTCGGTTGGTCGGCTCTGAGTCTGCAGCCTGCAGCAGCATCGCGCTTCTTTTTCTACGGGCTGCTGGGCTGCTCCTTGCCCGGCACACAATACGCGGACGGGGTACGAGTATCCTCTGTTAGCGGAGACGGTCAGTCGGGTGCCACACTGGGCGTACGCAGCATGGGGGCCTTAACTCCGCTACCTGCGTCGACGCGGATGAGCGGCTTCTCACTGGCTACCGGAGAACTCTCACGGCTCCATCGGACCCCACCCACCATCTTCTCAGTCGTACCTTCGCACACTCGCACTCACACTCTCGTACCTCCCCTTCTGCGCAGCACCCAGCCGTGACCCAGTCCACTGTCCAGTGCTCAGCGTCCACAGGTGGACCTGCCTATCCGTTCCTGGTAACAGCAGGTACTCGGTGTGTCAGTGGAGAGTGCGAGAGTCAGGAACCAGACTGAGGGAGATGCGGATGTAACGAGCCGCGCAAGATGCCCGCAGGAATGAAGATTAAGCTGCATGCTGTCGGAGAAACATGTTGAGAGAGATGGCCGACGAGACCTGGACATGGAAATGCATCCAAAAATCAACGAAGCGGCATGAACGGGAACGATGACATGGAAGGACGACAAAACAAAAAGACCAGACTGGCTGCCTTGGTATGGAGGTCAACGACGAGGACAAGGCAAGGAAGGGAGGCTGTGTGGGTGGTGCGGTGCGGTGCGCCTGTCCTGTCCTTTCGCTCGCCCCCCCTGCTCCTGTCCTCCTACGAATACCTGTATCCGTACCGCACCGTACCGTAGGTATTCGTACCTGCCGACTGACCTACAATTGACAAATGCCTAAGCCAATGTTTGGCGAGGTACTTCAGTGTACAGCCCGTGTTGCGCAGAATCTCATGTACCTCCTCCGACCTTGTCCCTAGTGCCTGTCCGGCCTGCCCAAGGGGCCTTACGGTCAGTTCGTTACGTTGCTGAGAGATATTACTACTGCTACCGACGCCCTCTCTCTCATCGTCTGTAATCAATTGCCTTTGCTGTTTTGCTTCTCTAACCCGCACTCTGGGCTGCTTGCTTGCTCTTCCCTGCCCGTCCTTGCCTTGACTTGCCTGCTCCTGCTCCCGCTCCCGCTCCTGCGCCTGTCGCTGTCAGTCATCCTCCATCCACCACCCACCCCCATACCGTAACTACCTACCAAACCACGGGCACCCACGCACGCCCACCACACCCTCGACTTGATCAATGTGCAGTGTGCTCCTGCAGCGCACTGGGAACGACCTGTCGAACCCCGCTTGGCATTGAAAATCGCGCCGGGCCCCAGCTCTCATCCTCACTCGTCCCTTTCTCAGCTCTTCCCGACTTCTCTCGCTTTGCTCGACCACTCCCAATTCCACGCGCTCCGACACGGCTCCTGCCCTCGAGGCGTTGATCTTGAGGCTCCAGTCAGCAATCCGCAACCTCTCGAATTCTATTCCGCCTCGACCGACCTTGGATCCCAAGAGCAGCCCGAGTCCTGAACACGACAATTTCCCGGGCCTCTCACCCTCATCGCCTGCTGTTTCCCTCTCACCTGCCTAGCCTGCCTCTCTCATTCTCACTTCCATCCTGCCAGAGCAGCCGCCAAACAACCGTTCTTCTGCGAGGTTGATGGTTTCAATGCCCTCAACCTCCTAGTTTAACATGTGAGGAAAGCATGTGTAAGTCAAAAAAATATTCTCCCTTATACGGCGATGTGTCGCTCGAGAAGCCACGCCTTGTGACTCGCTCTCTGCAGCTGCCAAATCGCCTGGTGTTGTCTCCCTTTTCGCGGCCAAGAGGTGCCAAAGTCCCCCGGTCTTGGCATCATCCACTGACGTCTCACAGCTCTCGAACAGATTCGAAATGTCGTGTATGTCTCAGCAATTTTCTTCAAAATCCGTCTTCCTTTCTTTAACGTCGCTTCCCTTGGTCGCTGTCAATTTTGCATGTTTCCCTCCTGTTCAGCGTCGAGGCTTTGTGTCCAGTCGTCACACCATAGCATGTATTTCAGCGTCACGATACCCAACAGCGCCTCAGTGGGCAGACGCGACGTCTGCCCACCCCCATCAAAACTGGCCTACCCCCGCCACGGCTCTTAACCTCGTAGTCCACGGGATCATTATTGACCATGATGCAGTCTGCTATTCAGTAATCCTGTCTGGTCAGGTGCAAACACCGTCCCCTCGACGATTATTAGAAATATCACATCACTCTCGGTACGTCACCTCATCGTCGCTTGTCTACTGATGTTCTCCCCTAACCGAATGCGCAGAGTAACATAGCATACCAAGACACAATCGTCGAGAACCTCACCACTTTGAGTTCGACCAACTCCGATACCGAAGATGGCATCATCAGAGGCCTTCTCTACGTCCCCGATCTCGCTGTCGCGAATCCATGTTACCAGCAGCAGTACGACATCATCCCCCGAAACGCAACCACCCAGGCAGCTTTACCTCCCACAAACTACAACCTCATCGCCCTAGCACCATGGTTCAACGCCACCTGTACTCTGGCGTATCTCGCCTCTGCGCGACTCGATCCGATCCGTGCCTTCATTTTTTACAGGCCAAACAATTCAACGAGAGAACCCCAGGGCGCCGATTCGCCAATATGGGATCTCGACGACAACGACGCATGGCGGACCCAGAACCGCTTCCCAATCTTCGCCGTTCCCGGCGCCCAAGGCAACAAGATGATGCGCCAACTCAGTCTATACTCTGGAAATCTATCGTCAATACCGTACGGAGACCAGATCCAGGACATATATGACCCCCACGACAACGATTATGTACGCATATGGACCGAGTTGACTGTAAAGGACCGAGATAGTGTGCCCGCTATGTGGACGTGGATCCTTACGGTCGTCGGAGTCGTCATATTCATCATTGCATGTTTATCACTTACGATGCATCTAGTGCAAAGAAGACGAAGGATATCACTACGAAGGAGAGTGTTGAGTGGAGAGGTCGACCTGGAGGCTATGGGTATCAAACGAATCACGGTGCCGATCAACCATGTCAAAGGTTTCCCGCTATTTACGTACAGCTTTCAGCCGGAAATGGTCAGCAGCCCGGCAACGACGAGACCCCCAAAGTCTGTCCGATCTCCACGAAGCCAGCGTACCGTTTCTGAGTCCGCCGCACCGAAATCAAGAGCCCGCAGATCCAGCGTGAATAGCGCCACCAGCACCGTTGCTACCAACTTCCAGCCTCAGTGCCACATTTGCCTCGAAAACTACGTGGATCGCGAATCCATCATTCGAGAATTGCCATGCGGGCATATTTTCCATCCGGAGTGCATTGACGAGTTTTTGAGTTTGAACAGCTCCTTGTGCCCGATTTGCAAGAGGAACATGTTACCACGCAACTATTGCCCCAAGATTACCAATGGAATGGTCCGTCGAGAGCGGGCCGTTAGACGGCTGAGAGAGAGGGTTATCGTCGTCGAGTCAGATGACGAGGAAGAGGAGGTCAAAGGCAAAAGTTGGGGCAGACGGCTGTTCGGCACGGACAAAGCGGCATCATCCCCGAAGGAAACGCCGATGACGCCCGTCACAACCTCCAGGTCCCCGAAAACAGCACAAGAGTCAGCAACCGCACGTGCCCCTGCACCGGCAGAGACGGAAGACCCGCGCAGGTCAACCCTAGAGCCGACACAAGAAGAGCAGGAAGATTCAGATCGACCTTCAAGTCAGTCAGGCGGTCAGGAGCCTGCTCAACCCATATCACGACCGCCTCAAGCTTCACCGGCAGCACATCACGGTCTTCGAGGCAAACGTCGGAAGTCGGGTGGCCTGCGCCTCCATATGCCCGGTTCGGACGACACCAAACAGACCCATTCAAAGCCGGAAGGACGTAAGAGTCCCTCCGCCTTGGCACGGGCTCGGATGCGGGCATTGGCGGGTACGCCGCTCGACGACCCCGACGGGCGCAACCCAATATGTAAGCGCCTGCCAATATATCGAATTGAATGATCTTTGCTAACTATTACTCAAGGGAAGCGCTACGTCGTCAAGGTCTTTCCAGGGTTTTCATGACCCGCACTTTCGAAGCATTTCAAAACTCGGGGTTGCATGGTGCACAGGCGTTTTATTGGTCAGGCAGACAGGACTGCTTCAGTGTCTTTTAAAGGGAACATGACGAAACACGATACAGACTAACGACAGTCTCCCCGGCGGCTGCCCCACCACTCTGGGTGACGAGGAGACTGATTCATTTCTCACGACGACGATTAGACTCGGCAGGCTCGGCACAGCCTTTCAGCGTTTTACAATTTTGGGACGGATTTTTTTCTCGAAGGGGTTTCTCAAGAAGGCCTCCTCATCTTTGGACTGGATATACCCTACAGGGAACGGACATGCATCAACGGCGGGGTCGACGGATGCCATGCGTGATATTAAAAGTTTAGTATTTAGTGATGAATGCCGCCAGCTGCACGGCGAGTAAGGGAACAACAGGGCACACGGCTCAAACGAGCGAGTCGCATCCTGAATGAAAGATTACCGATTTAAACTTCCAAGACCAAAAAAAGAGTTCCATCTATTGCTTGGTGAAAAGACACGACTACAGTCATGGTATCGTTGCTATTGTTGTTTCATCCGAATCTAAAGCAATGCCGTCCCTCATCCAATGTACTTTGCTCGCTTCTATCCGAACGCCCGCTCGTCTCAAAAACACGTTTACTCGCGCGGAGGAAACTATATCCTAAACTTTCACCTTGTCATGTCTTGGCTTTTCCTTGGCCCTTCTTGGCTTTCTCTTGGCAACGCTCTTCTCCGGCACCTCAAATTCGACCTCCTCATCATGAGCGAGTGCGACCTTCAATGAGTTTGTCGTCTTCTTTTGTGCCGCCCCTCGCCAGCGCCTCCCTGATGCGGTCGTTTTCGGCGGCGCGGATGCGTTGCCTGGCCTCCTCCAGCCGCTCGACGCCGCGATCAATCGTCTCGATGTGCACCGTCAGGGGGATGGCGGCGGGCGAGTCGCGGACGAGCTCGGGGGCGGCGACGCGATCGCGGAGGTCGCCCAGGCCAGCCTGGATCTTCTCGAGGTCGACGATGAGGGCCGAGATCTGCGCCACGGCCGTGAGACGCTGGCGGTCTACCTGGCGGAGCAGTGAAAGCTGCGAGTTGAGGTTGTGGAGGCGTTTGTTGTTGGCGCCGACGAGTGTCCAGATAGTCCAGAGAACCTCGTCCCTGCGAGACTTGACCGAGTTCGAGGACCGCGTGACAACCTCGTAGATCTGGTTCAGGCTCTCCTCGGCTTTTGAGAGGAGTAGGAGGACACCCTGCGCTTCGACTATGAGTCCGGCAATGCGGTCTGACACAAGAGCCGTGTGTTCGATATACTTATCCAACAGCGTACGCTCCGAGAAGGGCGTCACAGTTGGAGTAAATGGGTAAAAGAGCCAGTTCGTCCATTGGGATACGAGAGAGACGTCGGCGTTTTCCGCGGTAGACAGTGTATCCAGGTATCGGGATGTCCAGCGGTTGATGGATATTACCGAGTCCACGGCAGATCCAACATGGACGTTGAACTTTTGCAGGTCGGCAGCCGTCAGGCGCGCCGTATCAACGTACTCGTTGAACTCGTGCACGAGCTCTTCTCGCTGCGGGAGTTCCGAGTATCGCACCATGGTGCGAAGGTCGCGTATTGACGATTCAGAGCGCTTCATCTCCATGGGCAGAGAGACGCCATCGGCGCTGCGTTCTAGGACCTGCTCGAACTGCGACTGGACGTTCATGAGGTCGTCAAACTCGACGTTTGCGGACTCGGCATCTTGCGTCTTGCCGTTAAGTGGCCCGGGGGAAGGGCAGAACGGGAGATCTAGATATGCAGCTCCCGGGATGCGGCAAAGCGGGGAGAGAGATGTTGATATTGACTTCGTCACCATGTTTTGAAGCACCATGGATGCGCCGAAGAAGAGCCATACTGCCAGACACAGAGCCAATGGCTTTTGGACGTACCCAAGAGCCATACCGATAATGTTGAACACCCAGGCCAATATGTTGAAGAGGGCATTCGGGAGGCTCTCAGATAGTCTCTCGGAAACCGGCCGCGGCTGCCCAACTGGGTCTTCGTAGTGACCACGGCCCCTTCTCGGATCCCCACGTCGAGATTTGACAGGACTTCCACCACTCGCTTGCCGGATCGCACGACGGCGCACGTCATGTAGCTGGTAGGAATCGTCGCCGGGACGGATGGTCCTCGAGGACCGGCCGCTGCTGTTTCGGGGACTGGTGCCTGAGCCGGCACTCATGTGGACGGAGGGCATGTAAAACTCAGGATCCGGTGTCCGGCTGGTGTCGTGGCGAACGGTAGGTTGGAACGGAGAGCGGAGGATTACCCGTTCATCATCCGCCTTATTCATAAAGTCCTGAACGCTGTGATGCGACTCTTGAGAAGCGCCGAAGCTGAAAGACTGCGAAGGAAGTTGGGACGGGTCAGTTGATTGAAAACCATCGTCGTCTTCGAGATCGTTGAGTATAGACGTGTCGAAGCTGTCGTTTTCGCCGCCTTCGATCAGGCGCCATGAGCTCTCCACGGGAAGCTCCTGCTCGCGTCGCGAAGGCATCGCGTTCGCAGATAAGGTTGATAGGACTTGAGGGATGAGAGACAGGCCTTAGCCTAAGAAATAATGTGTATATATAGTATTGGCAAGAGTAACGATGTCCATGGGCGACCCGGCCCGTCGTTCAAGAAAGCGCTGAGCGTATATGCCCTGGAAACGCGTTGACCGCGTCCAGTGGCGAGATAGATACAAAGTTCGCGAAATGCGACCGCCTCGGTATATATGTAGTTGGGAAGAGAGAATATGATTGTTCTGGAGACTTGCTAGTGAGTCATCAGACGGGAGCTAATAACAGGGGTTGCGACAACGGTTCTGGGCAAAATAGGCAGACAAAGGACGATCTATAACAATGAGATGTAAAGATGAAGTTCACAGACATTCACAACAGACGTCCCGGTCTGGCGTCATAGGATCCAGCAGGCGCCCCTTGCATGGCAGCTGTTGTTTGGGGGCAAGGTAGCTTTGAGTGGGTAGCTTCCTCCACTGAATCCGCTGTATTGGCAGCAGCAGGGACCATGTGGCAGCGTGACTCGACAATGATAAAGCTTCGCTTCCCCTGGTCAGGTCACATGGACCAGGCGATAACAGATGGTGCATCACCCCGCGCGGCAACACATCCTCCCCAAAGTCCGACCACCACCTGTCCGGTGAAACATAGAGCCGAATCCGGGGAACGTTGCACACGACCTCACCACCTAGCTGCCCCACTTAGCCTCCGGCGCGATTGATGCCAAACGTCTTTTTGAGGTCAGGAACCTAGCCTCACCTTCCAAAACCTCGCTTTCCATAAACCCACCAGCCTGTTGCGCGCATACCATCAACAAACACCCCAATCCACCCGAAACAAACGCGCGCACACTCGCCCACCATGACGATGGATCAGCGCGAGCTTGAGTCGAGCATCAAGCAGCTCAACAAGACCGTTCAGGCCAACGATCCGCCTTCTTCGGCCTTGGCTCTTCTTGAGCGCCTCAAGAAGGAGGCCGCTCCTACCGAGGAGATGCTTCGAGTACGTCATCATCAAATTTTTTTAAAAAAAATCGCCCATCCGATTTTTTTCTCTCTCATATCATTTCGCGATAAGATGAAAGCAAGTATTTGTCGCTTGGGAAGGAATTAACAATCGTCCAGGCCACCCGCGCTGGTGTCTTCGTCGGCAAGCTTCGGTCGAACTCGAACAAGGATATCGCCCGCGCTGCGACCGAGTTGGTTCACAAGTGGAAGAAGCTCGTCGAGGCGGAGAAGCAGGGCAAGCTCAAGAAGCAATCTTCCCCTGCCGCGCCCTCCCCCACGACCGCGAGCGCCCCGAAGCCCTCGTCCTCCGGCAGCTCCAAGGAGCCCTTCAAGGGCAACGCCGAGAACCGCCGTGCCAAGGAAGATGGCGCCGACACCAAGCGCACTGGCGACAGCGTTCGCGACGCCTGCATCGAGCTCCTTTACAACGGCCTCGCCTACCGCTCCACAGCATCTGTCGCTGACGTCCTCGCTAAGGCTGTCGCTGTCGAGGCTGCCGCCTTCTCCCACTTCAAGGGTGTCGGCGCTCCTTACAAGGAGAAGGTCAGATCTCTGTTCTCCAACCTCAAGGTCAAGACCAACAAGGAGCTTGGTGTGAATGTTATGGAGGGCAAGATCACTCCCGATCGCTTCGTCGCGATGACGCAGGAGGAGCTCAAGTCTGCGGAGCAGCGCAAGAAGGAGAACTTGCTCCAAGAGGAGAACATGAAGAAGGCGCAGGTTCCCATGGCGGAGAAGAGTATCAGTGATGCTCTGACTTGCGGCAAGTGCAAGCAGAAGAAGGTCAGCTACAGTCAAGCGCAGACGCGCAGTGCTGATGAGCCTATGACCACCTTCTGTGAATGCACTGTCTGCGGTAACCGCTGGAAGGTAAGCCTTATTCCGTGGCTGTTATGTTTCGTGCGGACACCGACTAACAGTGCCTCCAGTTTTCTTAAGCCGGTAACCGTAGCTGCGGAGGTTTCGATTCTTTTTTATCCACTTGACGGCGTGTTTTCGCGTATACCCCGTTACTGAGCACGGGCGGTCTTGCATTTGGCACTCGGAAAGTGCGGTTCGGTTGGTTCGGAGTTGGGGATGAGGAAATGTGGCCTCCTTTTTCATTGCTTTAAGCCGTTCTTACGCCCCGGAAACAAAAGCTTGGGCAATCATTCTTGCTTCTTACGGTGTGCTCATATCGAGGGGATTTGCACTCTAGAGGAGGGTTTCGATAGATTCATCTTAAGACTACTAAGAATCATCGAGTCGTCGTCTCATTGGCATTGATCATATACACATTCTTCATTTCTTTGCGGGATCGATCTTGAGAGCGGAGAACAAATCAGCCGAGTGTTCGTCCTGCTCTAGACCCATTTCCGCCACATGCTTCCAAAACTTGCTGAGATGCCTGGTGCCCGAGTCGCAGAGGATGGTGACGATCTGGCTCCCCTCGGGCAACCGCGAAGCCGCAACGCA